AACGAAGTAAAATTTCAAATTTTATCTTATATACCGCAGCCAGATAATTATGAAGATTGGTTCAATGGCCTATTAACAAGTAAAGAATTCTATGGATTATTGACCGATGTGAGATTTTTAAACGATTATGCTAAAAGATTAGTCAATCAAGATATAGAACAGGCCAAAAAGCTGCTCGTAGGGGCAGCGGCTCATAATAACACGAAGTTAACTAAAGCACTATTAGATTCTTCTGAAGAACTGCAAAATTATGCTCTTGAACAATTAAGTAGAGGAACAACAGAAACAATAAGAAGCTTAATAAATAGTTCAGAAATGTTAAAACAAGCAGCACAAGACCTTTTACTCTACTATCCCCCGGTGAGAAATGATAATTTTGCTACTTTAGATAACTTAATCAACGCAGGCATTGATGTTAATGTACAAGATCATGAGGGAAATACCGCTTCAATGTTAGCAGTTAAGTATAATTATCGTGAAAAACTCATGTGGTTACTTGAGCACGGAGCAGATCAGCTCATAAAAAACAATTATAATAAAATGCTTCTCGATGTGATAGAAGATTTCTACAAGCCTCGTCAGGTATCTGCACTCGTTCTTTTCTATCGACTTTGGACAGAAAAAAAGAATAAAGAATTTTTAGAGCTCGTAAGAAACATGACCAAAGCTATTAGCAGAAGCAAAGCTGAGTAATTGAAAAAAAGTACTTACTAACCACTAATTTTAGTAAGTACTTTTTCATACTCAAAGGGTAAAAGTTATTTAAATAAACCACTATAGGTTACTAAACCAAAAATTAGATCTCTTTCAAAATCGATTAACCATAAAACGTCTGGTCTAACCTTTGCCACTATAAAATTTATTAGAAGCAGCACACGAGGTAGTACTCTTACTACTCCTTTAAACTTAAAACACTCTTAATAAATAAGAGAAGCAGGTCTCAATATTTATTAGAACTTTAGAATAAAAATAATATCTTCCTAATTCCGATAGATGTAATAATAAACTGGTATTCCACTCAGCGTAAACATTGATGCTATTAAAAGAGTAGAAAAAGAAGTTTGAGAGATAACCCAACAACAAAAGAACAATGCAATAATACCATAACAAAAGTGAACTATTTTTTTTAACCAAGATTCTGTTCTATAAATCACTATTTTAAGAAACGACAAGCAGCATATTGCATAAATAAATAAAAATGCTGTTACTGAAAAATCAATAATAGTTAATAATTGGGTAGCAAAGTTTTTATGTGAAGTCAGTATGAGCAAAGGAATAATGCCTAAACTACTTATCAGCAGACCAGTGGTTGGCGCATCGAACTTATTTTTGAGTCCAAAATACCGAGGCAAGAGTTTATCTTGTGCAAGTCCTAATGCTATTTGACCACTTGCCATAACCCAGGCATTTAAGGTACCTATACAAATTATGGATGCAATAAGCGATAACAGTATGTGCCAGCTCCCACCAAACATAAAACGGACTGCGGCAGCATAAGGTGCTATCGAATGCATTAATTCATTACCAGGTATAACTCCCATAATGCCTATACTATTCATTAAATAAAGAACTGCTACCGATATAGTTCCTATTACCACAGCTTTTGGTATCGTTACCGACGGATTCTCAACGGCATCAGCAGGAGTAGTTGCAGATTCCAAACCAATGAAGCCCCATAAGGTTAGCAAAGTAACACGACTTAACAATTGGGAAGTCGTAAGAGTAGAGACTGCTTCATTAAGAACAAAATTATGTATATCAAAATAAAAAAGCGCAATGAGGGGAACAATAAGAAGTGGAATTATTTTAAGAGCGGTCAATATAAATTCTACATGACCTGCTGCAGTTACCCCTCTAAAATTTAAAGCAGTGATACTTATAAGCAATAGAATCTCTAACATCAATTTAAGGTAGGTGGAAGTAACTCCCAATAAGGGCAACAAATAACCAATACTTCCTATAACAACAACTGTAGTACTTACCCATGATATAATCCAATAAGTCCAACCGGTAAAAAACGAAGCGGGCAAACCAAAGGCTTCTTTAACATACACATGGGGCCCTCCGGTTTTAGGAAACCATGAACATAATTGAGCAAAAACGAGTGCAAGCATGATAGCACCTAAGCCGGAAATTAACCAGCCACCTAAACCATACAGACCATACGGTGCCAAAGTTGCAGGCAACATGAAAACTCCAGATCCTATTTGACTACCGGTAACCATAGCAAATACTGACCAAAAACCCATCTTACGAGATATCGCAGACATTAATCATCCTTCTAAAAAAAGCACATTTAATTATCAATTAATTATAACTTTAATTTAAAAAATCAGTAATGCTTATAATAATTTTATTGATAAAATTATTCTCCTCGAGAGGATAAAGAGCTTAAAGAAGAGGTAAGGTGTATTAACGCATTTTTTGTTATTGTTAAATCAACGCTTTTTTCCTTTGATTTCCCTTTTAAGATTTCTTCAATATCAAAAATTTTTATTCCACCCTTTTCACTGCCAATGATAATTCGTTTGGCATCATTGCTCATAATAAAATGAGTTGGCCCTTCAGAGATTTTGAATCTCATCATCTTATCAGTTTCTATAGTTATGATGCCCATCACCGGACCATATAGTTCTCTAAAAATTATATACTTTTCATCAGGACTAATTTTCAATTCAGCTATGGTTTGAGATGATATATCCCATGATTTGAGCTCTTTAAAATTGAAATCTAGCAGCTTGATTTGTTTATCTTTTCCATAGATAGCTATGTATTTATTAGATAATGCTATCTTCGTAATCAATTGTTTTTGTTCGGCTTGATTTCCAAATATACCAGACACCATATTTAATGCTTTTTTAAGTTCACCCGTTTGAGCATCCCAAAAAATAGCCGATCCATCTTTAATAACCCCCGCTATAATGGTACCATTCGGATCAACCGCCAAATCAGATAAATAACCATGTGCACCCTTCAAAGATCTTATTAGCTTTCCTGTTCTTATATCAAAAATACGTGCTGAAATATACTTACGAGATAAGATACCTTTGGATAAATCTTGATTTATAATAATCATGTCTTTGAGGGGAAGAATTCTCACTCGTTCCACCCTTGGATGATGATCAATAGATAAGAACTTGCTTCCATCAAATTCAAGCACTCTTTTGTTTTCTCTATCCCACTTCCAAATATAATCATCACTTTGACCAATTATCATCTCACCATCTACCGAAATTGCTAATGCTTGAGTTGAATAATCGATAGGAATCGGCAGCTCAATCTTATAAGTTAACAGAGCATTTTCTTGAGCATCATTCCATTCACTCTTGGCCCGCAAAAATATACCGGCAAATTTTTTGCCCCCGCTCGAATTACCTGTTCCGGCAACTATAAAATCTTGATGAGGGCTCAAAGCTAAGCTCAAAATCGGCGCATCAGAAACTTTAAATTCATATAGTGGTTTTAAATCTTCGTGAGGTTGTATTATAGAATTCAACGGAATATCTAATGCATCGAGCATACAAAACCCACCGAAAAGAATTAGCAAATATATAAGGTTGCTATATAAATTTATATTTTTTAGCTTCATGCTTATCCTTTTTTTAAGAGTTCCGCCACAGAATAAACTCTTATATGGCTCATTATCAATACTTACCTCACAAGGTTTTAAGAAGAAATATTTTTTATTAACTGACCACTAGATTGCCTACTTATTACTTTACCATGTGGCCACGGTTTAGCTCATAGCTTGATTCATTAAAAAATTCTGTGAGCCAGTTAATATAAAAAACCTTTTTTTCTCTATCAACTATTGTTTGAATATAAGAAAGTAATTCGGGGGGGCATATTGTATTTCATCTAAAATCAACCCCTTTTCGCTGGGGTAGTCTTTTTAAAAAAGCACGTGGATCGGTAAGCGCTAGGGTACGTATATCTAGATCTTCCAAAGATACATACCGATGCTTAGAAAAATATGTTGAGCTAAGGTTGTCTTACCGGATTGCCGTGGTCCTAATATGGCCACCACAGAAAATTGCTGCGCCGCTTCTTTGATATTGGAAGTTAATTCTCTTTTTATATACAATCCATATTCTCAGTAACTTTTGACAGATTTGGAATCCGATTCCGAATCTGTCAAGATACTTTAATAGTGCTGAATTGATCTGGATTTTTCAAGAATTATGAAGTTAATGAAATGTCGTATAATTATTTACTTAAAAAATTATACTTACTTTTTCATAAATTTATGCCAAATATTTAAAAATCTTCCGCCAAATATTCCAGAAATTAAACCGGAAACTATTAAATCAGTTACCCAGGTTATAAGATAAGAACGCATTTCTGGCATAAGAACGGACATAGCACTAACGGCATATTTCGCCACAAAAAAAATAATATAAAGAATAAGCGAATAAGGACTACCCGGAATATTTATCAGCTTGTCCTTTTGATTTACGGTAATACCGCGCGAGAAATAGTACCATCCTATCAACCCACCTATGAATAATAGAATAGACCATACACCCAAAAGCCCAAATGAAAAACCATTTTTCATTAAAGAATAAATTGACCATCCTAAAAGTAGAACAGGAACAATCATCATTTTAGCTAAACTTAAAACCTTGTCTTTTAATGCCGATATACCTTTTATAATAAGATAAACAAAAACTCCATAGACCCAATAAGGAGTGTGTGAAATAATATTTAAAATATTAAGCATTTTGTTATTCCTTCTTTATCTACCATTCTATTTTATACATAAAAAACTTTTGCAAGGTCATTATAGCAAAAAAATACTAAAAAGCTCGGAGCATAAAGTATAGCATTTCCATCAAAAAATAAAACCTAATCGAATTAGCAAATCAATTAGGTTTGCAAAACCCTGAATCAAGCTCAATTGAATAGCATTCATAAAAAAATTCAACGGTCTTTCATTGCAAAAGAAACTTTAGTTAAATTATTCAAAGGATACCAAGGCATTCAATGCATAACCATAAAATATAACGCCAAAATAGTTTGAGATATAATAATACCTTAATTTTAAAAATTAAGGTAACGCTAAATATTCTTTTTTTAAACCAATTAATACTTATTGAGCAAATAAGAAGCCTTTGAAAATTTTAAAGAGTATCTTAAAATTAAATTATAGTTCTTCATTAAATGATAATAATTCAAAAATTTACTAAACTTACTCTTTTTTTAGCGATACCATTTTTTGTTCATTCTCTTTCTAGCATAGAAAAAAATGAAACTACATTAACACAAGAAGATTTAAACTTTATAAAAAGTATTTCTAATTCCGAGCTTCAACAAACACTAAAAAAATTTATAACACAAAGAAAGCTCGAAAAGGCTTTATCACTCGCAATTTTACTGAGACTGAAAATGAGGAAGAGGCCCTAAAAATTCTTGAAAAATTGATCTTAAATTATAACGCTAATCTTAATATTGTAAATTATTGTGGAAGCTATCTAACATTAGCGATGCGTGTTGGTGCATTATCTATTGTGAAATTTTTACTAAAAAATAAAGCTGTTTTAATACATTTAACTCAAATATGTTTCACCCAAATGCACTCACCCCTTTAATGTGGGCTGCCACCTTAGGACATTTAGAGATAACTCAATTATTATTAGATCATGGTGCAGACGTTAATATACAAAGTTCAGCTTTTTTGGGAATGGAAGAAGGGTTCATTAAAAAAGGCACTGCTTTAACTTATGCAATTATTAATCAGGATGAAAAAATAGTTAAAATTTTATTAGAAAAAGGAGCTAATCCTGATATTCAAGATAAATATGGCAATAGTGCTTTAATGCAAGCATCTCAATTCAATAATGAAAATATTATTAAGTTGCTACTAAATCACAAAGCGAATATCTATATTAAAAACAAAACAGGGCAAACAGCAAAAGATATTGCTCAAGAAATGGGGCATACACAAATAGTCAAGCTATTATCTTAATCCCTTCACATATTTATCTTAATTGGAAAACTTTATAAGGCCTCGCATAGAGGCCGTTTTATTTTGGCAATCCCCAAAAACGCTTGAGCCTGCATTCAAGTTAAATCTTATAATAAAATGCTTGCAAATGAGAGCAGTTCATAATTATTGTTCATATAACTTTTTATTATGAAAGATAACTTATGAAATCACAAAGAATAATTTCTCTAAATCCTGGAAAAAATTATGAAAAGGTGGGCGAAGTTAATATTTCAACGCGCTCTGAAATTGACACAAAAATATCTAAAGCACATAAAGCTAAATATTATTGGGCAAGCCTAGGCGTCAAAGGAAGACGTATGTTGCTTGAACCACTCTATCAAGAATTCATTAATAAGCAAAAAGAAATTCAATCATTAGCATCTCAAGAAATGGGTATGCCCATTTCCGTGAGTAAACTAATTGATATAGAAGCAGGATTACGATACATGCGCGGCTATTTAGATTTAGCTCCTGAATGGCTTGCTCCCGAAACGGTTTTCGAAGATAACCATGAAACACATCAACTACTCTTTGAACCTTTAGGTGTTGCAGGCATTAGTATTCCGTGGAATTACCCGTTTTGTAATTTCATATGGGGAGTAATACAAAATTTAATTATCGGTAATACCGTAGTATTTAAACATTCAGAAGAATGCCCGCTTACCGCTAAGCTTCTTGAGGAAATAGTAAACTCAGTAGAATTACCCGAAGGTGTATTTAATGCAATCTATGGAGACGGATCAGATGTAGGTAATTACTTAATGAGCAGTAATCTCAATTGCATGTACTTTACCGGAAGTACACGTGTCGGAAAGCATCTTTACCAAGTAGCTGCAAAGAGTTTTATTCCTGCACTTTTAGAGCTGGGTGGATCTGCAGCAGGAATAGTTTTAGAAGATGTTAATATTCAAGAAACGGTAAAATTAATTTATGAGCACCGTTTTATTAACAGTGGTCAAACATGCGATGGTTTAAAGCGATTAATTGTTCATCGTAGTCGTTTTGATGAATTAGTAGATACATTAACACATTTTTTATCAACTAAAAAAATAGGTAATCCTCAAGATACTGATACCGATATGGGTCCATTAGTAGCAGAGCGGCAGCTCGTTCTTCTTGAAGAGCAAGTGTATGATGCTTTAAAAAAAGGTGCCAAAATAATTACCGGTGGCAAACGAACTTCAGGCATAATAGGTGCTTATTATAATCCTACCATCTTAACTGATATTACTTTTGATATGCGAATATGGAAGGAAGAAGTTTTTGGACCCGTTCTTCCTATTGTGCCTTATGATACTCAAGAAGAAGCAATTGCATTAGCAAATGATACTGAATATGGTTTAGGCGGTTACATTTACACTACCAGCTTAGAACGAGCACTCCTTATCAGCAAACTTCTGCAAACGGGAAACATTAGTATTAATGGTGCTAATTATAATATGCCGCAAGATTCTTTTGGTGGATACAAAAATTCTGGCCTCGGGTTTGAGCACGGTAAAGAAGGATTACGAGATCTGTGCTTGAAAAAAATTATAGCATTTAAAAAATAATTAATTCATACATTATGGTGGCAGTATGATCGTAATTAAAAGAGCCTATGAGCCTAATTCTCCAGACGATGGTTTCAGAATCTTAGTAGATCGTTTATGGCCCAGAGGATTAACTAAAGAGCAGGTAGCCACTGATTTATGGCTTAAAGACATTGCTGCGAGCACGGAATTACGAAATTGGTTTGGTCATGATTCCCAAAGATGGGAGGACGCTAAAGATGAAATTCATAATGAGGCGGTAGTTCTATTAGATTATATTAAAAAACATACGTAACTAAAATTCGACGGTAGCTCAACGTATAAAAACTTCAAAAAAGTCTTTCTTAGTAAATTGATATGGCATAGCGTTAAAAGAAGATAGAAGTCAAATCAATTATGGTCAACGGATGGTTCAATTTTGCTCACTATGTGCAGATGAGATAAGCTCTTATACCAAGCCTTACGTTAAGTAATAAAAATTCTAGGTCCGGCAAAATAATCAAATGTGCTGAGACTCCATCATTTTATTTAAATATCTACAAACAAAAAAGATAGCCATCGCTATGCCTAAAAAATAAGCAGGCATTGGAAACAAAGTACCGTTATGTAAAAAGCCCATTATAAAAGTAAATGATGCAATCACCATATAGTAATAAAAACCTAATAAAGATGATGCTATCCCCGTAGCATTTTTGTAATCTACTAATGCTAGAGATAAAATATTAGGAATCATGATTGCTACACCGGTCATTATAATAGTCATGCTCGCTAATGTTAAATAGATAAAAAAACTTTTTCCAGCACTTAAAAGATAAAAAATAATAGTAAAGAGCAAAAATAAGAACGCTCCACAAAGAATTACTATTTTTCCTGTGTTTAAAATGGAAAAGAAGCTCATTTTAAAATCATGGGATTTTTTTGAAATATAACCACCTAACATACCTGAGAAAGCAAATAATAAATAACTAAGCCCGTATATCGATGGAGATAACCCCAACATATTAATCAAATAAAATGGCCCTTCAGCATAATAGCTAAAACTTAGCCCATTACATGCTCCTGCTAAAAAACCAAATGCTAAAACTTTTTTATCACTAATCATGGTGATAAAGGTTTCTTTAATGGTCCCCAACGAAAAAGCTATAGGAACATATGTTTCAGGGAGCTTTAACATAACAAGCATTAATAAAGCAAATCCAATTAAAACAAGACAAATAAAAATTGCAGCCCAACCAAAAGATTGAGTTATAAGCCCACCCAACGCAGGCCCTATTGCAACACCAAAAGACAGGGTGCTGCCAATAATAGAAAAAGCTTTACCCAATTCTGTATTTTTAAATGAATCACGGCAAATAGCTTCACCCAGCACAGCTCCGGTGCTACAACCAAAAGCCTGAATAAATCTACTGATCATCAAATAAGTAATAGTAGGTGAAAAAAAGCAACTAATACATCCCAAAATATAAATTAACAAACCACTGATTAAAGATGGTTTCCGACCATATTTATCAGATAATTGTCCCCAAAAAAGCATCCCTAACGCGAATCCCAAAAAATAAATAGTAAGGGTATATTCTACCATTGAGTCTGATGTTAATAATGAACGCGCTATATTGGGTAAAGTTGGCGTATAAAAAGTTTCGGAAATAAGCGGCAATCCTACAATGAGAATCAATAACCATAAATCCGGTATTTTTGTTTTTTTGACCATTTATATTCCCTACATTAAAATAAGTTTAGAATATTTTTTAACAAACATTTCTCAATTACATAGTTACAAAATTATTCTAAAACTCTGCCGATATAATTTCAAACTTCTCCTATAAAGGCATTTTTCTATTAATTGATTTAAAGCTTAATTATTAAGCATTTAGATTATTAAGACAATACCAATTATTAAATAACAAGGATTTCTCATGTTAACTGTTTTTTTTAAAGAGCGCACCTTCAGGTGCAGTTGCTCATTATTTTTAGCAGCATTATGCTTTCATGCATTTGCCCCAGCCAATTTTCCCCAGATAGATCGCGTTATAAGTACTCAAGAAGAAATTGATCTAGATCTTTTTTCATCGGATAATCATAAAGTATCGGTCTTTAGCACATTAGATAAAACTCAAACTTTGTGCGGCCAAGAGGCTCTTAAGGATATGCTCAAAAAACCTTTATCATCAATAGAAAATCTTGCTAAACGCCAAAAAGCACTTAAACAACTTATTGATGAAACTGCTTTATTGTCAGATTTTAATAATGAATTACATCAGTTTAAAAAAGGCGAGCTGGAACTTTTATCATTACAAGCGCCAGAAGATCCTATACGACAAACCGCTTTAAAAGATTTTTTCTTTAAAGCTAACTTCCTTCAAAAACTCAATAATAGCTCCCTTGCCCTCAATGCTCACCAACTATTCAATTTTATAAATTTATCTTTTCCTTTGTTAGAACATCTCGTTCTTCATCTTTTAATCAGTAACACCATTAAAAAAAAGTATAATATAGGTTGTTGTGGGGGCGATCATGGGCATAATCATCATAAAAAACACCATCATGCTCCACCAGCTCAAACTACTCTTGCTCTTTATAAGATCTACAACATAATACATTTATTCATTCATTGCCTAGGCGTTAAAGCACTTATTGGACATGTATATCAAAAAGTAAATTTGCTTCAAAAATTACAGCAAAGCCTCATAGCTACCAGTCATTGTATTAAGAGCATTAAAAACATATACAAACTTATTTCAAACAATCCCACAATTCAGCAATCGTTATTTCATTACCATGATCTCGAAAAATTGTGCCTC